ATAGTGTATTAAAAAAGAAGGGCCCAGTCCATCAGCTGTGCTTTCAAAACAACCCCTTAAATGATTACAACAATCTTGCAGTCTTCCCCCAGAATAAAAGCAAACATCCTGCCCTTTGTACTTCCCAACTGTAAAAAATTATCTTGCTTCACTTCCACTGTCAGGGTGAACAAAGGGTTCATCAAAGGAAGCTCTGACAGCAGGGACATGGCAGAGGAGGCTAAAGGGGAATCTCTCTGACTTCTGAACTGGTCTTGCTGTCAGGTCCAGCTGGTGGGTCCAGACAGCGAGGCCAGCATTCTATCATGAAAAAACACAGCTGCAACAGATGAACGCAGAATTCTAGCCAGAGCAGATGGCTGTGGGTAAATGCTAATTAATATTAAATGACACCAGATGATCATGAGTAACCGATGTAAGGGTCAGGCTAAATAGTTTACTTCCTTTGTCACTTTTTTTTTTTTCTAACAAGCCCAACTTACTTGTTTGGGGATTCTACATATTTTCATAGGTTTATTTTCATCAGCCAAAAACCTTAAAGTCTTCATAGTAAGGATTTCTAGTGCAGTAGGAGAGAAAATAGAGTGCATTCATCACATATTCGCCCCAGCTCCTGCTTGGGCAGACCTGGACACAGGCCTCTGGCTTCTCCCATCTTTGATGTCTTCAATCATGACCCTGAGCTCCCTCTTCTTCATAGTCACAGTTCCAAGATTCACTCTATCTAAAGGACTCCCTCACCTCCAGCCTCAGGCACCCAAAAATGTAATCCAAAAGGTACAGCCAGTCATGCAATGTCTAGCACAGTAAACTCAACACTTGCAAAACTGAACTTCACATCTTCCCCTCTTCCCCTAGAAACTAGCACTTTTCCCATGTATATTCTTTCAGAAGTCCAGGTACCTTTTCACTTCTCTCAACCTCTATTCTGTCTACCCCAACTCCATCAGTCAGCAGGTTTGGTCAATTCTTTCTCTGCGGTGCATTCCATCTGCCCCTTACCCAGTCATGCCTATCACCAGCTACCCAGTCTGACCCTTACAACCTCAAAGACAGCAAGAGCTTGCTCACAGGTGTCCCTGCCTGTGGTCTCTCCCCATTCATAACATGATAGATGCAAGATTCAAAACTAGGACTGACTCTAAAGCTGCTCCCTCGTCTCCTCAAAAAAAAACCCCTCCAGTCCTCCAATGCCTATCATTCAAAGTCCAAACTCCCTAACCCCTCAGTTCAAGTTTTCCTAAACCTAACAATCCAACATTGCCAAAGTTCCTCCTTCACTCACATGGGTGACATCCCTGACCCCATCAAATTTGACACATTTCCACATTGGTGTCAATTATTCTTCCCAACCAAAATGGCCTTCTCCTAGTTCCATGCTTATCTAAATCTCACTTCTTTCGGCTGGGCGTGGTGGCTCACACCTGTAATCCTAGCACTTTGGGAGGCTGAGGCAGGTGGATCATCTGAGGTCAGGAGTTTGAGACCAGCCTGGGCAACATGGTGAAACTCTGGCTTTACTAAAAATACAAAAATGAGCCAGGTGGGGTGACGCACGCACGTCTGTAGTCCCAACTACTCAGGAGGCTGGGGCAAGAGAATAGCTTGAACCCAAGAGGTGAAAGTTGCAGTGAGCCAAGATTGTGCCGCTGCACTCCAGCCTGGGCAGCAGAGCAAGATTCTGTCTCAAAAATAAATAAATAAATAAAAATAAAACCTCACCTCTTTCATGACCTAGTTCAAACTATACCTCCTAAACTCCTACAGCAATTATTCACAAGTTATTTAGAAATTAAGTACTGTGACTATGACATTCTATCTGTTATCATCTTGAATTTAAATTCATAGTAGGGAACCCTCATATATTGCTGGTGAGAATTTAAAATGGTGCAGCCACTTTGGAAACAGATTGGCAGCTTCTTAAAAAAACTAAACATAAAATTACCATTTTTACTACAGATTCCTAGGTACCTACCCAAAAGAAATAGAAACTTAGATTCACACACAGACTTGCATGCTAATGTTCAAAGCAGCATTATTCATAATAGCCAAAAAAATGAAAACTTAAAATGTGTCATCATGTGATGAATGTATAGATGTCATCATGTGATGAACGTATAGATAAAATGTGAAATATCTGACCAGGCACAGTGGCTCACATCTGTAATCCCAGCACTTTGGGAGGCTGAGATGGGCAGATCACCTGAGGTCGAGTTCAAGACCAGCCTGGCCAACGTGGTGAAACCCCATCTCTAGTAAAAATACAAAAACACAAAAATTAGCGGGGCATGGTTGTACATGCCTATAATCCCAGCTATTCAGGAAGCTAAGGTAGGAGAATTGCTTGAACCCAGCAGGCAGAAATTGCAATGAGCCAAGATCGTGCCACTGCACTCCAGCCTGAGTGACACACCAAGCAAGACTCATCTCAAAAAAAAAAGAAAAAAAAATGTGGAATATCCAAACAATGGAATACTACTTTGCAATAAAAAGGAACCGGCCAGGTGCAGTGGCTCACACCTGTAAATCCCAGCACTTTGGGAGGCTGAGGTGGGCAGACCACAAGGTCGAGAGATCAAGACCATCCTGGCCAACATGGTGAAACCTGTCTCAACTAAAAATACAAAAACTAGCTGGGCATGGTGGCACGCACCTGTAGTCCCAGCTACTCAGGAAGCTGAGGGAGGAGAATCACCTGAACCTGGGAGGTGGAGGTTGCAGTAAGCTGAGATCATACCACTGCACTCCAGCCTGGCAACAGAGAGAGACTCCATCTCAAAAAAAAAGGGGGGAGGAGGGACAAACTAATGTATGTTATGAACCTTAAAAACATTATGCTAAGTGAAAAGACACAAGAGATCATACACTGTAGCAGTCCATTTCTATGAAATGTCAAGAAAAGGCAAATTTATAAAGATGAAAATTAGATTAGTGTCATCTAGGGCTGGCAGTAGGAGCAGAGATATTTTGGGGAGATAAAAAGTTCTAAAACTGATTTATGGTGATGCTTCCACCACATGGTAAATTAAATCACTGAATCGTACACTTGATATGGGTAAATTTTATATGTGAATGTATTTCAATAAAGCTGTTAAAAATAAATCATAGTAGGCACTCAAATATTAGTTGAATATTTAACCTCTTACCTGTTTCATATCTTTTCTCACCACTTCCTCCCCTGCAACTAGAGCTAAACATCTTGAGGGTGAGGACCAAGCCCATTTATTTTCATGCTCATTTTTATGACGAACCACACTTAGCCCAAAGTTAAACATACACTGGGTGCTCTCAACTATTTGTGGATTTGACATTTGCCTTGTCAGGCTATGAAGTGATTCCATGCAAGAGCATCCAGGAAGAAATGGTCTGTTTGAATGTCGAGCCAGAACAACTGGGTTCTGAATCGCAGCTTTCATTTCACAGCTATGAACTCACAGCAAGTTAATTGCCTTCTCTAAGCCAAGTCTAAAATAGGGAAAATGGTAGTAGCTACCTCATAGAGTGGTTGTAAGGACAAAATGAGATAACTAGATAAAATGTTGGGCCCAGTGCTTGGAACACGGAGACCTCATTGAATGTTGGCTTAAAATACTCATCAACACAAACCCAATGCAAATGGACACACTCCGGAGAACTCTGTCAGATGGGAGTGGTCCTGGGGCACTCTTCCCTCCCAAGCCAATTGGTGTTTATGGAAATATTACTACTATAAATTTTACAAACTAAACATCCCCCCAAACTTCAGTATTTGTCCATCCATCCTGACTTTCATCCTGCAAGATAGGATTTCACTTCCTGACCCCCTTGTGGTTTAGCAGGGCCGCACGTCTAGCTCTAAACAATGAATTGAGGCTGGGTGTGGTGGCTCACACCTGTGCTCCCAACACATTGGGAGGCCAAGGTGGGAGGATCACTTGAGCCCAGGAGTTTGAAACCAGCCTGGGCAACATAGCAAAACCCTGTCTCTGTAAAAAAATTTTAAAATTAGCCAGGCATGGTAGCATGCACTGTAGTCCCAGCTATTAGTACTAGGGAGGCTGAAGTGGGCAGATCACTTGAGCCCAGGAGGTGACGGTTACAGTGAGCCCAGACTGCACTAATGCACTCCAGCCCAGTGACAGTTGTTAGAGTGACCAGATCATGTGTTTGTGCAAGCCACTCCACAGCTCCCTCCCTCTCCCATTACAACTAGCAATGGTCTAGTTAGTGGCTGCTGTCACCCTACATAAGGACAACATGGAGCAGATCCCCAACTAAGCTGCACTGGAGAGGGAACACGAGTGAGAAATAACATTGTTCTTTGCCTGTGAGCTCCAGCGGTGTCACCACAGGATAACCTGACAGATCAGTCACGGAGCTCCCAGACTGTAGATTATTTTCAATCTCGCAACCAAAAACTTAAAACCCTTTATTCCCTGGCTTTGGAAACAAGCCACTCTTCTCATTCTGTTAACCTCTCTGACCATTACTCCACTTCCTCACAGACTCTATTTCCTCTGCTTACCTTGTTAAGCCATGCTGTTAACCGAGAATTTGTCCACAGCTTGTGACTCTTATTCTACATGCTCTCCAGGGAGCTCTTACCCACTTTTGATTTATCCATCTGGCTGCGCCACAGTGTCATAAATCCGGCACATTCAAAAGCAAATGTAGCAGCTGCCCAGCCTCCTCCAAACATTCGATCTTGCTACACTCCTCACTTCAGCGAATGGCACCAAGCTTGGGCCAGAAACCTGCCAGTGATGCTAGATTTCTCCCTCTCCCATCCCGTCTCGCCCCACTGCCTGCACCCAGCTCACTCATTCAACCAACCAGTCCCGGCAATTTTACCGACTTTAAATGTTATTGCCGTTGTTGTTGTCCAATGGAAGGGACATTGTTTATTTTTGCTTGTTTGATGCTTATTAGATACTAAAAAAACAAATTACTTCAAGCTCAGGGAAAGTCTTATTTCGGTATCAGCCCTGACGGTGATGCTTTATCAGAAAAGGACAAATTAGTCCAGACCAAGAAACAAGCAAGCTTTAATTTCTGAGTACACAATTATTGCTACGCCAGTAGCAACCTGCATCTTTGTCTTATCTCTTCAGCCTCTTAGAGGTCTCAAGACACTGTCAAAGCTTTCCTTTACTCTATTAAACTCCCTTAAGCATTACTTATATTATTCAAGTTTAAGACACAGCAAATCTACCCAAGTGTATATGGCTGGTTCACTTCTTATAAATGAATCCATTAGAAAGTGTCCCCTAATTCATCACTATTTTCTCTAACCTGCTTGATTTTCTAAAAGTGGAAAAAATAATTCTGGTGTACTAAAACCAGAGCCCAGGTTTTTTGTCATTTTGTGTGTGTGTTTTTTTTTTTTTAGCCAAGATGGTCTTGATCTCCTGACCTGGTGATCCACCCACCTCAGCCTCCAAAGAGCCCAGGTTTTTCAACATCTTCAGTTAAATGATCTTTAATTCCCCAATCAAGTTATAACACACAAATGTTATCTGCGCTTTACAGCATAAAACTCTTGAGCAGCTGGTGTCTTTTGGATGGTGTAACCATTACACAGCAGTATATGCTTGTCACCCTGGTCTTCTTTAGCCTCAAAAAATATTCAGAATTTGTTATCCACACGGAAGAGTTCTTATAGCAGCACACTCAGTTACAAAAAGACCAAAAAAATTTTTATTGCTTTACAACAAGCCAGCAACAAACACAACTGAATAATTATAAACATGACACTTCTAAATCCTCAAATGGAATTCCAAGACCAGAGTGTGCTTCTCCATGTAAATTGCATTTGTTAAAACTAAAATCCACAACCTCTGGCAAGTACTTCAATATTCTCAAGCAGAATCAATACTTAAAGAGGGGGAAAAAAAACCCTATTATCCAACTTATTGCCTTATGTGTGATGATATAATTAGCCTTTCATGCTTGATCCTGGCTGTGCTATTACCGCACATTTTAAGTGACCATCATGGGCACTTTTAAGAACCTAACACTTTTGTCTTCCTACAAACTTCACAAAAAGAGCTGTCAAAAAAATTGTTCTAAAATCCCAATGCACAGTAACTCATGTCTCCTTTTAACTTCTTTCCTCTCGATGGAAAAACGTAGTCAGCCTTTAACTTGGGGCCTGATAAAAGCTGTGAAGGGCATGCCAAATAGCCCCTCACACAAACAGGAAGCCCAAATTGTTGATCAGGTAAGAAAAGGTGACACTGTTAGATACTTCATATTATTTTGAAGAGCACTTTCCTTTCTGTGGGTGCAAAATAACTATGGATTAAGTCACCATTTTAATCATCTCAATTCAATAACAAGAGTTTCCTGGCACATACTTTTAGTACTACCTGAAAATTGGGGCATGGGGGAAAGACCACCAGCAGTATTTACATGACTTGCCTCAAACTGTACATTTAAAACCTGACTGTTGGGATAAGTCACCAACACCCTGAAATTTCCTACTCTAAAACACATTGCCAAATCCCACTGACTTATTTTGTGTGTGCTTTTGTGTTTTATATTTTCATATAGAGATGGGGTCTCACTCTGTTGTCCAGGCTGGTCTCAAACTCCTGAACTCAAGCTATCCCCCTGCCTCGGCCTCCCAATGCGCTGGGATTACAGGTGTGAGCCACCACACCCGACCTGGTTTATTTATAATTCACTATATCTTTCTTCCAAAGAAAGCATTTTCCTCTAACAATATAATGGTCAGGATTTTGCTTATTAACTTGCGCGGGTGGCTTTATACTCTCAGATGAAATGATCTTGCTGACTGCTGGGAAAAAGGTTTTATAGTTTAGGAATATATCACATAACGTGTTAGTTCCAAATGTACATGAAGACAATTTTTAATTGCTGCAATAGCAGAACATTAAGGCAACATCAGAAAGCAGAGGTGTTTTAAAACACTAAGCCCTACTCCCTGCCTGGTGGAGAGCCAAATAATAAGATGCTACTAAATCCCTTAATACAAAAACCTTCCAAAATAATCTGTTGAACTTGACTTTGCAGTTTAATCTTTTATATTTTGATGGCAGTGAGAGAGAACCTGGGGCTGTAATTCCCTTGGCAAAAAAAATTCACCATCTCATTTACTCACAATGCTTAAAATAAGGAAGGGAAAATATAAAATAAGTTTTCCTTGCTTGGCAACCATCTTTTTAATTATCTGTGTTATTATACTGTATCCAGGCTATGCCTGGGTATGGATGGCTAAGTTGGATATAGAAAATATCAAGCATCACATCTGGAAGAATCACAAACGAGACAAAGAACTTCTCAATCAGTACATCAACAGTCATGGTAGGCAAGAAAAGGACTTTACCAAGAAACTAACATTTACTTTTTGACAGAACTGAAATACACTGAATTACAGAGCAAATTCACTAAAATAACAAGAAAATTCTGTCCATGTAAAGGCTCTATTTTTTACCCCCAAAAAAGTGTTTCAATTCTGATACTCACACCACACAACTGGTTAAGAAAATAAAGCGCAGTGTTTAGCAACTGGACATCCTAACTACCGTAAGAGGCACTCTGGGCTCACCCCTTCCTGGCAACCGCTGAGGTCAGCAAGGCCAGGAGCAAGGAGAGCCTCCTATTTTTCACCACAAGCCGCTGCCGTCTCCTTATTGAAGCCCCGGATGGAGAGATCATAGACCACCTCCTCTACTTTCTTGACGTCGTATTTCAATCCGTCGTAGCGCTTCCTCAGGGAGTCATTTTTCAGGTTGAGAAGGCGGAAACCGGAATCCAGCTCATTGATGAAGGTGGAGATGTGGAGGGGTCGGGAATAGTCTCCAGCAGTCACGCTGTTGACAGACAGCCTCGACTATACCAGGAAAGAGAAACAGGGGCCTGTTACAACATGGCTCCTCCTCAGTGCATCTTCCTCTGAATCGCAACTAGAAGAACTGCAGGCCGGCAAAAACAGCTACACTGATGTTCTACCTCAGGGTACATGCAAGCATAGACAAAACAGGAGCTTCTCTGAAAAGAATCCCCCTGAAAATGAGACCATTCCTGCCAAGTAAAATTTAATATAACATCTAAAATTTCTCTGATTTCTTAAACTGGCTATTGCATAATAAAGTGTTACATTACACAAGCATCTTTACAGCACATCTGCTATCATATGGAAGAAATAAATGACAAAGTCATCACAGCAGCTCTGCTATCTCTTCCAACCTCTGCCAAATGATCACATTTCTAGAGCCCACCTACTAAGCTGCAACTCCAGTCATCTAGAATCAAGAAGGCAGGCTGGGCATGGTGACTCACACCTATAATTCCAGCACTTTGGGAGGCCAAAGTGGGTGGATCACAAGATCAGGAGTTCGAGACCAGCCTGGCCAACATGGTGAAACCTTGTCTCTATCAGAAATACAAAAATTAGCTGGGCATGGTGGAACTCGCCTGTAATCCCAGCTACTGGGAGGCTAAGGCAGAAGAATGGCTTGAACCCAGGAGGCAGAGGTTGCAATGAGCCGAGATCACGCCACTGCACTCGGGTCTGGGCGACAAAGCAAGGCTCTGTCTCAAAAAAAAACAAACAAACAAAAAAAAAAGTAAGGCAGACTTGAGATAAGAAGCTAAAATTACATCAGTTTAACACTGTCTTGAAGGAGAGCTAAGATTTATTTCAAGATTCCCCTTCTCAGTATACAATCCCCCCTCCCCCACACTGCTACATTTGACTGGCTTAATAAAATAATAAAAAAAGATACCCCTTTCTGTAAAATCCCCTCCACTTTTCCAGGCTTACCTACACTACCCCTTTAGTGCATTCTCAACACATACAGGTTTTTTTGTTTTGTTTTTTAATATAAATAGAAAGGAGTCTTGCTTTGTTGCTCAGGCTGGAATAGAACCCTTGGCCTCAAGTGATCCTCCCACCTTGGCCTCCCAAATTGCCAGGATTACAGGTGTGAGCCACTGCAACTGGCCCCAACACATATGGTCCTAAAGACACCTCACACTTAACAACTAATACCAACAAGGTGCTTCAAGTTTACTGGTCAGGTGTCTCCAGCAATTCAGACAAGTGGTACAGCCTGCAAATGAACCCCATTATCCATTCTCCCCATCTTCCTCGGGTTTCAATGGACATATACCCACTCCAATGACTCCATTTCTGCCTCCCCTGCAGGCAAGGCACCAGAATATTAAATAGAACTTGTGTGTACAGCTTCAAAGACATTTCCTCAAACTAGGAGGGCATACCCTTTTCCCATTTCCTCCTATTGCTGGCTACAGTGAAGATGTGAATAAAGCAACAGTTCTGGAACTTAAGAAAGAAGCTGAGGCTGGAAGAACCTCGGGCCAAAGATCAAGGAATCA